AGTGTCATGCTCGTGATGGATGGTGAGGGAGCCCTGGTAGTCTTGATAGGCTTCGGCAGTCGCAGAGGACCCTGCTCAGGGGAGGATCGTAGCCGCTGGGTGGATCTCCTAAAAGCTAAAGTAGACGTCATGGCGAGAGCTTCTGAGTCGCTGCTATCCGAGGGACGGCGATGACTGAAGCCGGCTTTTGGATTGCTGGGCAAACCAGAGGCCCACATGGCAGTTCGACCCGCAGTTGAAGTCGTAGAGACTTCAGAACCACCCCGTGATTCAATACTGGGGCGGCTCATTGTCAGGCTTTGGTTGCTTTCAGTCCGGCTGAGATCGGAGCTAGTGTTCCTGTTGTCCTTAATCTCGCCGCCAGAAATCACCACGGGGTTCATGCGTTCCCGCAAAAAGGGGTCAACGTGCGTCGTACTGTTGAGGCTTTCCTGGGACGTCCCAGAGCCGGCTATGGCGCGATTCATGTAAAGTGCGCCGCCACTCCGCCTCCGAGGAGCGCCGAGACGCCCGTAGCCTTCATGGCCGGTGCCAGCAGCGGGGCCCTTGCGTGTTGGCTTGTCTTTCGTATCCGTCTGAGCGATGTCCGGTGTTGTTTTGGCCCGTCTGCCAAAAAAGGCAAATCTGCCATTGAAGGTGTTCGTGTTCGGACTCGGAGTGCGGGCTTGCGTGTTGCGCTCCGACTTGACAGGGCTCGCTGTGGCCGGCCGAGGCGCGGGGGTAGCCTCTCTACCCACCAGACGGGTTGGGGCTTCGGAACTGCCAGGAAGGGGGGATACAGCAGTTTTACGAGTGGCCGATGGGCCAGCTCTATCCTCGTACCCAAGTCTCTCGGCCACGAGTGAAGCCGATGACAGGTTGCTGTGAATGATAGGCAGAGGTCCAAAAAGCTGAGACTGAAGATCCGGGGTGCCATCTCTGCTGGGTCGCAGAGGCGGTGTTTCACGTGCAGTGGGCGTAGACCTGGAAGCGAGGGCTGGAGATTTGGAGGGAGAACGAGATGCGCCGTCTGGTCGTACCAGCTGTCGCTGGCGTCGCGGTGATGCTTCGATGGCTACCCTCTCTTCCTGATGCTTCTGAGATGACTTACGGGGAGGTGGACTTGGCGGCATGGGCGAAAGGCGCTTCTTCTTGATCTTCTCCTTCTCTTTCTTCTCGACTTCGCGTACCGTGGAGTTGGATGACGAAGACGTCAAGGACTCTCGGACGGCAGCCAGCCCTTGAGGGTCCGCACTGATGACGTCTACTTCGTTTGTCGTGCTTCCACGCCTCCGAGTGACAGGCGGTCTCGTCCAGACAGGGCTCAGTTGCCTCGGCTTTTGTAGAGGGAAACGGGCAGGAGACATCAGGCTCGGAGACTGCGACGACATGGAGGTTGGCGTCGTGTCGCGGCTGTAGGGGCCGGGGCCCGGCGACTCTGAAAATCGTGTGCAAGGGCTGCCACTGAACGCACTAAGTTGGCTGCTAGTGCCAGAAAACGCAGGAGTAGGGGGGGGCAGATCCTGTGTGGACAGTTTGAAGGGGACCTCGAGGCCGGAGCAGTCCGAAAGAACCGGGGGCCGGAGGGCGATACCTCTGTATCTGTCGAGCTCTGGGTAGATCGTAACGGCGTGAGCTTGGGTCTTTGGCAACTCGATCGACTGGGCTACCCGGACCTCCATCGGGCTCTCAGTAAAGTCGTGATCTAGAGACTGTCCAGACGAGGGTTCCATCGAGGAGGTGGAACGGGGAATTGACGATGATGAGCCGGTCCTGCTAGATTCGGTCCGTGAGTGACTTCCGGAGCTTACGGTGGCTTGGGTGACTGATGATTGTTTCCTTCGCAGAACGTTGCGAGGGGATTTCGTCGGACCATCGTGCGATCTGCCGGAGGAAGAAGTGGAAGGTGTGGTGGCATGAGCCGGGCGCTTTGGGGATGTGACTGTGTTGGAGCCCCATGATGGTAATTTCTGGGGCAGGGACGGACGTCCAGCTGCTGTCGGTATGGAGGGTCTCCTAGCTACCGGGTTTGATGCAGCGCGGCTTGAGGGTGTGTAAGAGGGGGCGGATGCCTGACCGGGAAGCCGTGATTCTTCGGTCTGCTGTCGTGGTTTGCGGCCAACAGTTGGCGGTCGGTCTTCCGCTGCTGTGTCCAACCCCATGCCTGCGCTCCTTATTCTGGACGACTCGGCGGTCCTATGCGGCTGTGGCGGCCTTAAAGAAGACATGGTAGTCCAGATATCGGCGGTGTTGTGCCGACTCTGCCAACCATAATACCTTGCTCTGCGTTCCTATTCTTACGTGTGCAGGTCCATAAAGAAACGATGCACAGTTAAACGTGCCCGATGTGTCGTTGTGGGTGAAGGAAGGGAACAACATATACAAGTGATGACTAAAGAAGGGAGTCGAGGTAGACGTCCGAGGGAAGTAGGAAGAAATTATCACTGAACCCACGAAGCCGAGAGGATATCGGGCAGCGAGGCAGCGTCAACAAGTATAAGAGGGGGTTAAGGGGCTTGGCGATACGGAACCCCTGGAATCGGAGCCAAAATGTCGCAGGGCGATGCTTGTCTAGTAGAGAGGATCCAAGGCCTGGTCCGCGACGGGAACCCTTGGTGATGGGGGGTGGTCTCAAGGTTCCGCGGCTATCGTGGGTACGCGACTAGCCCTTTCGGTATGGGGCAGGTCGAGGATGGTGGTGGGGAGATGCGGCGTCTAAGTACCGTCGCGTTAGGGCGATGGGGTGGGACAGGGCGAGTGAACGAAGCTCCTCCTTTCTAGGAGGGCTGGATGAAGGCTGAGGGCTGAAGGTTAAGGGTCAAGGGCTGAGAGAAGTGAGGGATATGTGACGTTGTTTTGTCGGATGTCCAATGCTGGTTTGGAGGGGGCAACGTCAAAAGAAGCAAGAGACGTAGAAGAGTCAAGGGCCGCGTCTAAATGCGAGTGACAAGCAAACGAGGATAATAGTAGTGAAAAGTACTAGAGGAGCTACAGTGGCAGCGGGGTCGTGGAAGAGGGGTGAGACGTCAAGAAAAGTAGCATGGTGGTGGTATAAGTGATTTCTGATGGTGGTCTGGTCGAGCCGCCTATGGTTTCTGAATGGTCAACAGCAATCTGTAGGCGTTGCAAGGATGTGCCCGACGTGCCAGGTTGCCAGGCCGGACTATCTACCTAGAGACGGCGCTCTGGAAAAAAACTGTGCTATTCTTTGCGTGTGGCGTAGTCAAGCAGGCCTTGTTCCTGCTTCTGGTGCACGGCGGTCAGTGGACAGGACAAACCAGGGCGGACTGACACAGCGAAGACGGCGGACGCCGGGGTATGTAGATCAGAGACAGAGACGGCCAGCAGCAGACCAGGTCAGGTGGTCCCTGTGTGTAAGGCAGAGAGATGCCGAGGGCGGCCCAGGCGACCAGGCGACCGGGCGACAAAGTTGGGATTGGATAGGCGTGACGAGAGACAAGACGGACCCCAGGCAGGGCCTCTGGGAAGTTGACTCGACTTGTCTACAGTACTTGTTCCCCTGGACAGCTGTACCAAGTACATCGATCGACAAAAAGAGGCGTCGCTGGGCCCGCCCAGACGACAATGCAATGTTGATGGGCGAGGAGGTGCCCCCCCGGGCCGGCAAAGGTCCATCGTATCCGAAAATGGCCCATGTTCAGACTCTGCTTCTGGCTGTGGCTGCGCCTGCGCCGCGCTGCAGGCGAAAGGGCCCTTCGAGGTGCATACGCGGCCGGTCCTATAGAGTTGGCACGACGGCTGTTGAGCTTGTTATTGGGTGCCAAACCCTTGTCGATGGCTTTTAGCCTGCGGACGCAATGAGGATCTGGGGCTCCCGACGGATGGCCATGGGTCCTCTGAGTGCAGTACCTAGGATGGTAGGTAGATGGGGCAGTTCAGGTATGGGTCGCCAACTTTGACGACCGATGGCCAACGGCAAGCTCTGTAGAAGACGACAGATGGCAAAACAAGGTCTTGGCTGACTGCTAGTGGTGGTGGCGGGTGCATCTGTCGAAAAGGAGTGTTTCGTTGGTCCACTGACAAGTGTCTGTCAATCATAGGTAGCCAGCGAGGCTTGGTCGACGAGTTTTGATGGGCTGAAGGCGATGAACCATTTGCGACAGATGGATGTCCCGATAAGGCAATTCTGTTGTGTCAGACGAAAGGAGAGGGTGGCCGCCCAAGGAAACCATTTTGATGGATGACCGGACGTTGGTATCACAGGTCCCAAGAGAAAGTGAAGATGGTGGGCAAGAAAGGTGGTGGGTGGAAGGCGGGGCCCGAGAAGAGGGTTGAGACACCACGCACCGATGCTGGCGTTGGCGCTGGTGCTGGTGCTGGTGCTGGTTCTGGGCA